GCACTACTCAGAAACCAATTAAGAAGTTGATTTCATATCAAGAAAATATTTTTATGTTCAATCTATTTTTAATGAATTTTTCCATTCAAGGGAAATGGAATCCTAATGCAAAAGTTCATTTTGACAAAAGGCTTCAGAAAAGTACCTCGAAAATGTTTTTTTTACAGCGATTCAATGTGCGCAAGACGCGTTGAAAATGTTCTGTTGTGTCCATGAAAAGGCTTTAAAAAGAACTAGGGAGAAGGTAGTTTTGTGACATATATCAAGGACATCTCGATAATTGCCGCCTGCGGCGGACATTGGCTGTTCTATAATAGTTCTATTCATGTGTGAACAGAACATCGCAGTGGAGGTTCAATGTCTCGAAATCTCGTACTTTTAACATCTCTGAGATGTTTTTGTGCTCGCTGGGAATGAACTTTTTACTCAAACCGGAAGTGTATTAATAAGTATCGTCCAGCTATTGACAATCTACATCGTAATCGAAGGTACCATGATGATGATAATATCTTAGCTTCAGTTCGTGCCAATCCCAAAATTAGTTTGCGTGAAAGGTCTGAGCAGAGATTATACACTCCGAGCTATTGAATTTGAGTAGAGAGAAAATCAGAAAATGTCTCGTTCGTCATAAAATCAAATCTTTGCACACATTGAAAGATGGTGACGAATATAAACGATTAGATTACTGCTATTGGGCCCAAGGAAATTTTTTAAATGATAGAGATTTCCTAAGAAAAATTTTGTTCACTGATGAGGCTATGTTCACTACCAATGGAATAGAATCTTCTCAAAATTGCAGATACTGGTCTAGCGAAAATCCCCACTGGGTTATAAACTGTAAGGACCAATACTCTCAAAAAGTTAATGTATGGTGTGGTATTTTAGGCGACAGAATAATTGGACCGTTTTTCTTCAATAATACCATTAACGCTGGACGACTATTGAATTTTTTTGATAATGAATTATAGGAAATCATTGAAAATCTTCCCCTCAATAATTAATAATTCTTGGATGGTTCGAGGGTGGTTGAACGAACATTTTCCATTACGTTGGATGGGTAGAAATAGGCCATATGAACAATGGCCTCCTCGCTCTCCTGACATAACACCAATGGATTTTTACTTCTGGGGAACCGTCAAGAAAAAGGTTTACAAGTCTAGGCCACGAAATCGGCAAGAACTTTGTGAAAGAATAAGGCAAGCCTGCCATGAAATAAGTATTCCAGAACTTAGGAGAGTGGCCAATAATAATAGAAAAAGAATTGAAAAATGTATCAGAATTGAAGGCGGGCAAGTTGAGAGAGACAATATTTAGAACTGGCTACCAATATTAGTGTTTATTTCATGTCCTGTTCGAATTCGGTTCAATAAATAGTTTATCATTAATAATTGCCATTTAATGTTGACCGATTTTATCGTCTCTGTTGCTTTTTAGTAACAACTAGTAAATTCTAATTTTTCCATAATGAATATTAGGTTTTTCATTCTTATTCCTACATTATGACGAATTTATTGTTTCCGTAGCTTCTCATTCAGAATCATTAATTGAAAATCGGACTTTATTATGAAAATTACAAAAAAATTCAAAATTCGAATTTTGCGTTGGAATTCGGTACGTAGGGTCAAAATTGATTTCTAAGCAACTTTTTCGAATAATTTTTTTCGGTATCTCCAACGCGACGCAAAATATCGAGAATTTGCCCTTTTCGCGGGATCGCAGTAGGCTGGGTTTGAGGCTGTCACTCGGGCTGAGTATTGCGAAAAGTGCGGCCCATGAAGGTCTACGTCTGTACCGAAAATCAAATCTCTGCTTTCAAAAACGACTAAAATACAGGGGTGTCTTCATCTTAAGTGTGTCACACTGTATATAGATCAAACGGTAATTTTAAAAGAAATAATACCTAGCCCTTGAAATTTTTGAATAAATTTCGTCTCATCATTACCATGTGCAAAGAAAAAGGGATACTTACATCTCCACATTTAGGGGTCATTAAAGAAAGCGTACTCATTTTTTCGGGGTACAAGTAGGTGAAACAAAGCCAGAGTGTACGTCGTTTTGTCAGAACTGTGGAGCAACTATAGTAAAGTTTGGTATTCTATCGATTTTCTCCATTTATTGACACAGTCGAAGGCTACATTGGCTTTATAGGTAGCAAATAACCGATCCTGGCACCTTGTAACACGAGAGAAAACTGCAGAGATTTACCAATTTGGTTTGATGAAACTATAAGCATATACAGGGTGTATATAAATAACACCGAAAAAATTCATGAGGTGATTCCTTGTCCTTGTGATATTCTAGCAAATAGAGTTCATCTCTCATCTCATCATTCATCAACACTCATGGACGAATCACAACACAAGCATTTCTGTGCTTAGGTGAAGCGTCCAAATTTTTACGGTGTCATAATAACAATAATATTGTATACCATCATGAAATGTTCTTCAATAGCTATGAATATATCGTGGGCGTACAAGCAGAACCCTAGCTGTAAGTCCACTTTTTTCGGAAATGAGGAATTTATCACACATAAGTCCATATTAGCATAACGCTCCAGGCAAATAAACATCAAGTCCATTTTGCGTTTGTTTCCGGAGATATAGTCAATGAAAATCCACTCAAGTCAATTTCGTTATAATTTTACAGGTTGATTCGAATATTCAATTGTGTTTTTCTTCCCATATTATTTTATGGACTTACATGATTCTGCTTGTACGCCCACGATATGAATCTCTGGTAGGAGCCCATATTGCTCAAAGTGGAGTGAAATATTTCACAGGAAAGGAAGGAATGCTCGAAATCATCTCCACAAATTTTAATGGTGTTGTTACATAATCATAAGAGACATGTTTCGATCTTATAAAAGACCATCTTCAGCCTAATTGAAAGTTTTGGAGTTGACAAAATTTTTGATGCTACTATATATATTATATGATAGTGTTGAAAAAGAATATTCTCAGATAAATTATGGACATACAAAAATGGATATATATTTATATGAAGCAATACATTGAGAATTCGCATTCTCTATATATGTGATGAGAATATCTACTCTTTTTCAGTTTATTCAATAGAGAACCACTACTTTTCTGGCTATATGCCACGACGAACATTGAATTATATCTATTGAACACACACGATAAGAGTTTGAAAATAAGAAATAAAAACTTCTTGTATCTCTTATATCGTACAGTTTCATCAAAGAATAGTAGGTTAGTAAAGATAGGTGCCAGTAGAGGGACTCTATAAATAGAGTGACGACAATAGTGGTACCTTAGTTAGATCATGTTAGATCATACAGGAATGATCTAAGAGTGGTACACTTTTTGATTGGTCAGACCTTTTAATATGGAGGTGCATCCGCCTGTCTTTGTTTTCTCCATTCAGTTATACGCATTCTCGAAATACTATGTATGGAGTGATCTCAGAGAGAGAGTGATTTCTGATGAAGATTATGATATCACGATTATTTGCAAATATAACTGACTATACTTTATTTTCAAATGTTTTTAAATCCTGACCTGTTCAAAGAGAGTTACACAGATGTGACATAAATTTTTATAACAGGCAAAAAAACAATTAATGAATACTGAGTTGAGTTCTGGTAGATTTGAGTCTATATATTTGGTCGTAAATTGTTTGCCGCTCTTGTTGAGTAATTGTGAAACTGGTTATTAGGAATAATTTGATTGTTGTTTTCATGTAGTTAGTATTTATTTTATGAATAGTTCTCGATGATTCAAATTTGATAGCTCTAGCCAAATTTAGTAACCTTGTTAGTGCTACCAATGGATTTATGCAATATATTATACTTTTATTGCCTTATTCTGTGCTATCTGCGAAGATTTTTTGTCACTGATGGCATTCAAAGCATTTCCCCACTCACTATGACATATATGAGAATAAATGAAATAGTAGTATAGTTGTTTTTTGTATTCTATTATTGAGGAGTTCTGAGACGAATTTTAAGCATCGATTAAACATTGTCAGTTTATTGATAACACTGGAAAGGTGTTTCTTGAAATTTAGATTGTTATCTATAATCAAGCCCAGATATATATAACACACTCAACTTCTTTAATAATTGTACTGTTTATCGTGATATATCAGTCGTTTGAAGTTACCAAAACAACATTTTTTTTATTCAAGCATAAATAGTTTTGAGCATACCAAGATCCCAAAAGTATTTATGTCTCTTTCAATTCGGTGTTCTATGCCATATCTTGTTGCCCAGAGTAAAACACAACTGCATCATCCGCATAGAGGGTAATCTTCCCATGAAGATCAGAATAAACAAGGTCGTTTATGTATATCAAAACCAATAGGGGTCCTAATATAGACCCTTGGGGAACCCCAATAGATTTTTAATAAACGTCCTTTCTTTGAATTTCCTGATGAGTTGTCTACTTTGGCGACTTATTGTTTTCACATCAATTCATAATTTGATTAGAAATTGAAAAAATCAGTTGATTTAAATCATGATTCAAATCACGATTTCAATCATTTGATTTGAATCGTCGCAACCCTGCTCTGCTAACTAGTATAGTTGGAATCATTTGATACAGCACCAAATTCATTGATCTTATTATTACTGTTTTATAAAACAATTTCATTTTTTGCTATGCCGTACACTTCCATGGAACATCCGGGGGTCTCAGAAAAAACTTATTTCTTACTGAAAGGAGTTGTATCGTATATAGTACTATAATTCTGCATAAAATTTATGCCGGGTCACATGACCCCCCCCCCCCCCCCCCCAAAGAACTTGGCTTGTAGTCTAATTGTCTTACATGCCTCCAGAGAGAAGCAATTTGGAAAAATGAAAATACCTCAATTCATATTTTGGTGTTGTAAATGATGGGAATACCAATAATATCAAAATGAATGGTAAAGAAAACACTACTGAAGATTACAAAATGTATTAAATAATATCTGTATTCCTATATGCTATTTTCATATTTTCAATCAATTACAATTATATGGAAATTATTATTTGTATATCACTTCCCACTTTTTATGGATAAATTTTTTGTACATTCAAGTAACACCCCATCAGCAATCATCTTCCCAATCAACTTTGCAGTATTTCTAGCATCGTCTAGCCCACAGTGCTCCCGTCCTTCAAAATCCAAACCCACTTCGCAGAGGGCCCCATGCAACCCCTTGGGTCTCCTCAAATAATGCTTCCTGTACATTGCTCTAGCATCTATCCAAGCATTGAATATATCAGGAATGGCAATCCGCTTTCTCCTGCACTCATTCCTGAGGCAGATACCCAGATCCCAATCAGACCAAGTGGAGAATATGCACTTGTTTTTGGAGGTGCCTGAAAGATCATATGAAAGGTGGAACTCGAGTTTGATATTTGCCAGCCATTTTTTGAATAGCATCAGGCAGGTTTGGAGAGGAACACCGCTGTCTACTTGGCTCTGCTGTATACCAGTCAACTCAGTACAGAAGCTGGTCAGCATTGGATTTTCCACTGGCATCACATATTGCTGGAAAACGGAGACTATGGAGTCACGCTCGATGCTGTATAGAACGCAAGGGAACTCGATTATTTCGGGTAACCTCTTAGTCTTTTCGTTTTGTCCCCAACAAGTTGCTTCAAAGTCTAGAACCAGTAGGTAGCCGAAAGGTTGTGAAGTTATTCTTTGCTGCAATTCTTTCTTCAAACTGATAACTTCCACAGCCCCCAGCCGTCTAGCTGCGTCTATCAATTTCATATTAATGCAATACCTACTAATAAATCGAGCTTTTCAGTGGAATGGATACAAAACGTGTGGCAAAATTCAGATTTACATACCTAGTATATCACCATAACACCATCAACCATTTACCACTCCACTTAAACTGTTCAAATTTTGAGAATTTCGGATAAAAAAAGTGAAAAGCAGTTTGAGATTTAAAATTTAAATAAAGATTTGAAACTTTTGAATTCGTGTGACATATTATTTGTTTTGACTTTTGACATGACCTGACATATGACACAGCAAGGCTATTTAAATTGCCGTATTGAAGACGGCTGTGGCCTTGGTAAAACGGGTCAACAAAGCAATGTTGCTGCGTTTATGAAATGTATTGAATTATTGTGAAATTGTAATGGTGCAAATGGTTTTGAGATTGGGACATTTCGTTGTCTAGAGATTGTTTATATTCCAATGATTCAACATACAATCGACAACTTGAATATGTTTTTCTGCAGTAGTGGTAGTGGATATCAAAAGATATTTCAATATCGATTTCGATCTCTCGGATATTTTGTTTGGATGATATGGCAACAGTGAAAAGTGTTTTCCAGGCGAGATGAGGTTCCTACGTCATAAGAGAGTCCGTTTGAGAAGGTACAATGATGGAAGTAAGATATTCGTAAAATAAAACAACAGTATACACCCTCAGTTAATTTATTATAAACATGGTTTGAGTTGAAAGTTCTACTAAAGTGTACACGCCCATAGTTCTTGAGTGCCAGCAGCACGGCAGCATGCAACTGATGAATGACTGGCGAGAGACGTTTGTACGATGACAGCATATTGACACTGACAGTGTGATGGACTGATGGCAGCTTTCGTTGAATTTGAATTCGGTTGCAAATTTGAAAATGAAAATTGAAATCACAACAATAGCAACACAGCAACAATCGTTTGAAATTTTGATTATCATTAGTATTTCAGCAGTTGAAACAATCTTGATTCAAAAAGCACTAAAAGCAGTATTAACTGATCATGGATCGACATAGTGAGTTAATCATATGGTTGAGAAAAATGGGTTATGATGGAGAAATTCCAGAAAGCTTGAACAAGTAAGTTATTGCCTTTATTAGCAACGGAATTTCCAGCTGATGAACAAAACCACAGTATATTATCCTTTCTTGGAAAGGAAAATAGACTGTGACAAAACCACACTCTTTTACAGTATACACAATAATTCGACTTCATTCTTATGGGAACAGTTGATCCAGAATGCCAGACCCAGGCAGGAAGTACAACATGTGAGAGATAACATTATTGTCCACCGTCTCAAGAGCAAACCTATCAATAAACAGGTACCACGAATGCATTGAAGTACCTAGCTAAAATTTTTGGAACAGGCAAAAACCCAATTCCAGCTGGTACAGTTGAAAGTATTATTTTTGCAGGATGAGTTTTCAAGTCCAATGTTAGAAATTGCTTTATACCAAAAGAAAGTTGCATTAGCAAATAAATTGGAAAGTATGTATGCTGCCATTAAAGAGAAAGAAACTATTCACACTAATATGTCTCAGAATATAAGAATGAAATGTAAGTACAAACAGTTTCCACTTCTCACTCCTTAATGAAATTATCTTGGAAATTATGTTGACTAACATTCTTGATAACTCTGGTTTGCAAGCTGGTTTGCTTATCAATATTTTCAACTAAAATCTGTAATCAGCTATTAGGTGTATTGATTTCTAAGAGAAATATTGTTCCACTTCATAGCTATAGCTATAGAAAAATTGAATGAGAAAATCAAGGCAAATCAGGAACGTGAGTTTTTGTTGAGGAAAAAATTGAAAGTCTCACAACAGGATATACAGTCAGCAGAAGATACCCTTGAATCTCTTGGAAACCTGACTCCTGTAGAACTGGAAGAGAAACCAAATACTAAGGAAATAACAGTAAGTATATCATTTTAAGTAATTTCTCAAGGGTAAATCCAGTTTACAGACATCAGCTGAAAAGTTAGATGTTGACTTTTTACTAAAAATTCTGTAGAAATGAATTTCCCTTAGTCTGCCTTTTGGTTGGAAATAATAATAATATCCATATTGCACAATTTTTCTCATCTTATAGGTAGGTGAACAAAAATATATCTCATTTTACTACAGATTACTGAACATTATCACCATTCTGAGGTGTTTAATCATTATTTCTCTATATATATATATACAGGGTGTCCCTAGACCAGTGGGACAGTTGAATATCTCCTGAACCAATAGAAATTTTCAGAATATTATAATTTCACATTATATCGCATTATGAGTGCTAACTTCAGGAATGACTATATTTTATACGAGGTGCGCAAGAAAGGTTCACATGATCGAACATCATTTTTTTCAAATGGAACACCCTGTATTTCATCGCATTTTCATATTCTCCTTAAAGAGCTGGATTCACTGACCTAGCACACTTGGGGTCTAGCGGGAATGATTTCCGAGATATAGGGTGTGGAAAATCGCGATTTTCAATTTTTGGGAATTTTTTGTGTCGAAACTATTCATTATTGGTCAAAACGGCTCACATGTCCATATCTCAACTTTTGATTTACTATTTACTCGTATTCAATTGAAACAAATACAGGGTGGTGTAGAATTCTGACTGAAACTGTTAATTCGACACCACCCTGTATTTGTTTGAATTAAATACTAGTATATAAATAGTAAATCAAAAGTTAAAATATGGACATGTGAGCCGTTTTGACCAATAATGAATAGTTTCGACACAAAAAATTCCCAAAAACTGAAAAATCGCGATTTTCCACACTCTATATCTCGGAAATCATTCTTGCTAGACCCCAAGTGTGCTAGGTCGTTGAACTCAGCTCTTCAAGGAGAATATGAAAATGCAATGGAATACAGGGTGTTCCATTGAAAAAATTGATGTTCGATTTTGTGAGCCTTTCTTGTGCCCCTCGTATAAAATATAGTCATTCCTGAAGTTAGCACTCATAATGCGATATGATGTGAGATAATAATATTCTGAAAATTCCTATTGGTTCAGAAGATATTCAACTGTCCCACTGGTCTAGGGACACCCTGTATATATAGTAGTACCTGATCACCCATTGAAAATGTATAAAAAGGCACTATATACAAATTTTATTATCACTTATTATATTTGCCCACCTGAGAGTAGCAATTATGTCTTTCTTGAATGTACCTACATCCTAAATATTTGAAATCCTTTGGTTCAAGATTTTCTTCCCTTAGATTTTCAATTTTTTGGTATTGCCAATTGAATATGTCATGCTAGGCACCTGCCTTGGGGCCCCAGCCTCAGGAGCACTGCACTAGTCTCAAGTTTTTGCTTTTTGGGTGCTGATTATTCCAAATATTAATTGAAATTTAATAACTTCATAAATGTCCTATGTACAAGTATTTTTTCATTTTGCAATAGAAAATTCTGATTCAAACAAGGTTCAAAGGACTTATTATTTATTCTCAATTACCAGTGAGCCTACCTGAAACTGATTTTTGTGAAAGTACATGTGACCATATGACGTTAGGATGCTGTTGAGATTGTTTTGTACACCCTATGCATCAAACTGAGCAGGAGAAAGATTATTTTCAGAATTGAAGTTGGTGAAAAATCATTTGCCTTCGACCATAGGACAAGAGAGACTTAATTCTTTGGCACTTTTGTCTATAGAAAATGAAATACAAAATGAATCAAAAGTAAAAAAAAAGAATTATTTAAACGCTCATTTATAGAAAAGCACAAAGAAACTTCAATACTGCCCCATATTGGATTTAGAGTGATGGCACATTATTTGTTATTATTATTATTTTTTCAGTTACTCTAAATGAGCCCTTTCATTTGATACCCATATTGTAGAAGTAGATTGAAAATAACTATTCCGCCATCTTGGATGGCCGCCATATTGGATTCAGAATGACGTCACATCAATTCTCGAGTTACTCTCAACGAGCCCTTCCAATTGATACTAATATTGTAGAAGTAGATTAAAAATACCTATTCCGTCATCTTGGATGGCCGCCATATTGGATTCAGAATGACGTCTCATTATTTTCGCGTTATTCTCAACGAGCCATTTCATTTGATACCCATATTGTAGTAGTAGATTAAAAATAACTATTCCGCCATCTTGGATGGCCGCCATATTGGATTCAGTATGACGTCACATTCATTCTCGAGTCACTCTCAACGAGCCTTTCCATTTGATACTAATATTGTAGAAGTAGATTAAAAATAACTATTCCGTCATCTTGGATGGCCGCCATATTGGATTGAGAATGACGTCACATTCATTCTCGAGTCACTCTCAACGAGCCTTTCCATTTGATACTAATATTGTAGAAGTAGATTAAAAATAACTATTCCGTCATCTTGGATGGCCGCCATATTGGATTCAGAATGACATCACATTATTTTTCGAGTTACTCTCAACGAGACCTTTCATTTGATACCCATATAGACCGTTGGCCCATAACACTAGGGGTGTCGATTATCTACGAAGGTATGCCCTTCAAGAGACATGAAGATTGAGTTGGATTATCGGAAAAAAAGTGGTTAGTTGGATCGGTACCCCGGTCGCCCATCTCCCTAATCAATCAACTTCCTGTTGAAAGTAATGTTGAAAATTGTTTTATAGAAGAAGCTTTAAAATTCATTGGAATAGTCGCATCTCGCCAAATTAACCGGGCGCTAGCCGATTTGCATACGTCTAGGTCGGTCCCGAAGGGCGACATACGGACCGCAAGTTACCATTAACCGACATTTCTCTCAGATTATTTACGATGGTATGCCCTTTGGTTAATTCCTTCATTTCGACCCATGAATCAATGCCGTAACATTTGCATACATTTTGGGTGGGCGAATTTAGACTTATTCGAAGGTCACTTACATCATTGACCTGTATGTACAAGATTATCTACGAAGCTCCCAAATTTTGATCAAGGTTAGTTAATATACTATGCATAAACTATGCATGAAATAATGATTTGCATACGATTTGCGAGTTGCGGGGATTACATTTAGCCCAGTAAAATTAGCAAAAATGGCGGCAAAATTCGTTCAACACCCTGTAAGAGCTCAAGATATCGACAATCAAATTCTTTCTAACTTTAGAACTTACACAAAACTCGTCCCGATTTACCCGTTTCGAGTTATTCGAGGTCGAAGTTTCGAAAAATCAGTTTTTGGTTCAAAAACCACTAAGAAACTAATTATTATGTCTGTACGACGCGTCTGAACTGCCATCCTAAAAAAACTTTTTTCACGAATATTTGCCTAATTTACTGTTGATCTCCTAATTCACAGAAATTCCAGATTAATCTGTTGCTTGGTTTGCCAGGAAGTCTAATTAACACTCATCGTGAATAACCCTGTATAATATTGTTACGTTATTTGTGTGCAGAAGCGAACACCACCATTCATTTACGAACTGATTTATTTCACGAAAGGGAACGAACACTCATTTATAACAAACATAAATAACTACTATTTATGTCGAACCATTTATATCACGCGGTATATGGCTGTCTCTCTGACAATCACTGACCACCTGCTGTCCTGTCGTCCTTATATATCAGATGATTTGGCTGGCTATATGCTTGTCGAATGTTCCCGAAAATCATCGGTACCCTTCTTTTGTTCTCGAAGCTTCTCATAGAAGGGGGTTCGTTGTTCGGAGGAAAAGTATCTCTCTCTCTCTCTCTCTAATAGTTCCATCGATTGTTTTGAGATGTTTCTGTCGCTGCGACACATATTGGGTGTTCGAAAATATGCTGATTCATGTTAGAATTATTGGGATACTCGGGAACAATCTGATACGCGTGATACAGGAAGATCGTTATACGCCTTCTTGATGATGTTCGAGCCCCTCTCAGGGGAATATTACAATATCGTTCATGAAAATAACAAAAAACATGGGATCCAAGATTGATCCTTTAGGAACTCCCATTGTAACTCCAAGAGGATCAGATTCAAAGAATCCAACAAGACTATCTGCCGGTTCTGCAAATGAGATGCGCCCCCTGACATCCCCCTTAGAGCCATCCTCTATCATCCCCGGCCCCCGGCACTAGTAGTAGGTGCTTCGAGCTTAGTGACCCCGAAACCTCCCTGAGAGCCCTTGGCTCGATCATCCTGGAATTTCCAGTTTCAACTTTTTAATATTAGAAAAACTGAAAAAAATAGACTCCCTATAGCAAAATCGACGTATGCTCACAATACATTCGTATGCAAACGCTATTTTCTTATTCAGTATAACTGAATCTATCACCTGATTGAATGGCATACAAAATTATATAATCTTGATATATATAATCGATGATGTAAAGTGACCTTCGAATAAGTCTAAATTCGCCCACCCAAACTGTATGCAAATGTTATGGCATTGATTCATGGGTCGAAATGAAGGAATTAACCAAAGGGCATACCATCGTAAATAATCTAAGAGAAATGTCGGTTAACGGTAACTTGCGGTCCGTATGCCGCCCTTCGGGACCGACCTAGACGTATGCAAATCGGCTAGCGCCCGGTTAATTTGGCGAGATACGACTATTCCAATGAATTTTAAAGCTTCTTCTATAATACAATTTTCAAATTACTTTCAACAATAAGTTGATTGATTAGGGAGATGGGCGACCGGGTACCGATCCAACTAACCACTTTTTTCCGGATAATCCAACTCAATCTTCATGTCTCTTGAAGGGCATACCTTCGTAGATAATCGACACCCCTAGTGTTATGGGCCAACGGTCTAATATTATATAAGTTTAGGCAAACCAAGCTTAGTTTATTTTGTTGTATCAGTATTTCACCTGATGAAGCTACTGTGTTAGCGAAACGTGTCGTGTGTTTCAGAATTTTGTGGAAATCATATCGTTTGTGAAGTTTTTACAAGCATATCAAAGTATTTCACAGGCATTTCAAAGTACATCATTAGTATTTTATTTCAATGTGTTCTACCACTTCACAGATTTTTTAACCCCTCGTTTTCAGCAAACTCTCAAAAAGTGCGCTGAAATACTAGAAAAACAGCTGCACACGTTCCCAGCCCCTTCGAAAAATGTACAAAATTACGAGCAGACCTTCCAACGAACCCGTACGGTTGAGAAAAGTCGCAGAGATCCCAGCGTGTACGAACACTATATCTGTTTGACAGAGAAAAAACAACCGAGGAGAAATGATAGTTCCAGGAGAGAAGAAAAATTCGGCAAGGAGAACGTTCGTCTCAAAAACGTGACGAAATGTTTGTTCGACAGCCCCTCTATCGGTAATTATTGTTTCGTTAGTTGAGAATGTCGAATTTTTCGAAAATTTTCGTCAACAGTAAAAACAAGAGCTTTTCTCGGCAACTGTACTTGTGATACTTCCCGTACTAGGCCGGGAACATAGTGGAAGGAGAAGATGGTGTGCCTACGCGCATATTATGTGACGTCATCTGGGATACCAATATCAGCTGCTAATTCAATCATGTTTATTGAAATTTCTACGAGTTTCTCGATCTGTTTAGAAATAATTCAATTTATATAAACAGGTACCTATTCCTTTGATTCTACTATTTCATTCATTATGGAAGGGGGTTGAATCCAGTGGCGGCTCGTGACTTTCATGACAGATGAGGCTGAATGATATGAGATTTAATGTGAAAAACAACTCTCTACTCACCCAAATCAATAGCTTCAATGATATTCTGTTTACCAGTTAACCTGAACTTAATACTTGGAGAGATGTGTTCCTGTGATTTGCAGTGTCTATCCAATCCGCGAGGCAAATTTTTCAAATCATTATATCCTAATCGCCCCCAACATGATGACTTATCGGTTGAAAATAATACGCAGTACCAACAAAATAGCTTATTCCTTACCTCAGATCCCGTCAACCAGATATATTTTTTATAATTATCAGAATTGAACGAACGATTTTGTTTGTTACCTGTTACATTCAGATTTTTTAATTCCGGTGTCGGACGTTTGTTTTTCACAATCAATTTATCTTCATAAGACAAAGCACTGAATGGGTTCACCAAAAAGTATTCTACTAAATCGCAATCGTTTAAAACACTCATTTTTCAGAAATTTATAGAGCCCCTAACCATTAACCTAACACAAACATAAACAATGCACTCGCGTTTGTCCGCAATTCGCGAAGCGCCACGACAAACACGTGCTATTCGGGCGTATTCGGGGATTTGCATTGCGCGCGTAGGTTGCGCAATGTGAAGGAGTCTAGCCTCCTATAGATGTTGCCAAGTTGAATATTTTACGTGTGATTTGCAGACTTCAACGTGTGATGCGTGGGCAAGCACTGTTGCCAATTCAAAAATATTCAACTAAAAACAGGAAATAAAATCAAAATCCATGTATTTTGGTGTCCTTTTAATGAAATTAATTGGGAAATTCAAGTAAACTAAAAAGAAGTTGAAATAAATGATAGCTTGAAAAACTAAAGATACACGCTTTTATAGATAGCGAAACTAAAAATAAGTAGAAAATAAAATAATAATAGTGTATTGATGAATATTGAACTGAAAAAATATATTATAGAAATAATGTAAAAAGCAAAACAACGTTTGCGACGTCTGCTACAGACAGAAATTTTCGAAAAATTCGTCTCTTTCATCCTAACTGTGAACTAGAGTTCCTAAATGTACTTGACACTGCTGTTTTGACGTTTTTTGTGTATTAGAGTCATATACGTATTAATAATCAATACGGATAATCTCTATCTGTTTCCATAGCGAAACATGAAGCCGATTTTTGAAGACAAATGACTATCCATAAGGAAAAGTTTTGAAACGATCAGACACATACACTGCTTTGATTGAAAGGCTAGTAAACGTCATTGTCCACCGAAACGCATGTCTTTGATGACTTCTATAATAGCGCATGGCCCATGCGTATCATGCCACCAAATCCTTATGGATATTCATTTGTTTCATATTTTTGGCTTCATCCTGGCACCCGTTATGATCTGTATTGTTTATTAATACGTATATGATTAGAGTACGGACACTATGACAAGCACTGACAATCAGACATAACCACAAATAAATTGATGGAAAACGCGGGAACAGACAGTACACGGATATAGGTTCAGACCACAAAATTTGCGAGGTATTCAAATTTCTTGGTTGGATATAGAACACTTTTCAACGCATTTTCATCAGGTACAGTTAAGAACGGAAGATTTGATGTTGAAGAATAGGATCGTATTGAGAGAAAGAAACGAACCCACAATGTATAAACTGAGCGAGTATCGAAAAGAACCTTATTCCAACAAGAAACGAAAAACTTGCAGATTCGAATTTTCAAAGCAGGAATATTAAAAATCCAAGGTTTACGCGTAGAGAGTGAAGAATTCAGGAAACAAATAGAAGAAAAAAATAGCAATGTGAACGCCGGTCTATATAGTGAGTGGAGGCGCTGAAGTCCATTTATACCTGCTTCCGTATGCCTTGGAAAACCTTCATTATTTATCCTAACTGAAATCAGCTGTTATTGTTGCTATATCATTTGTTCATTTATTAATTACTTATCACCTACCACTCTTGTGCAAGTGAAATTGTTCTATACGAAATAAAAGTATGTTTCATCGGTTGAAATTTGTCAGTTTTTACCCCATTCTAAACTTTTGTGATAAAATATATATATACCTACATATAAGAGAGTCATTTCATAGGAATAGTATATGTATTTCGTTGGTATATAAGTACATACCAACTTGATGTCGACCTCCATTGAGGTCGTTCAGCCTTATCATTCAATATTTCAAGAAGAAATAATTTTCTAATCAATTTATCGTACCCTTTTACCCACTCGAGGAGACGCTATGCACTCTCATACAAAAATCAAAGACTAACGCAGACATGACAGTACGATACCTACAAGAACAGATTGACACACTAGAAACCTGGTTCAATAACTGGAAGATAGAAATAAACGCAGAGAAAAGCCAAGCTGTTCTCTTCACTAGACGACGTACCAAACCTACAGGACACGTAATACTAAACGACATACAGATACCATGGGCAGACGAGGCAAAATATCTAGGGGTAACCCTAGATAACAAACTCACTTTCAGACAACACATTACAACACGACTAAACCTGGGTAAAGCCGCAAGGCAAAACCTACAGCCTCTAATAGGTCGCAGAAGCAACATGGCTCTAGAGTTGAAGCTGCGCCTAATAAGAACCATTCTACTTCCAATAATTTTGTATGCATCAAGTGCATGGGGCCAATGCGCAGAAACATACAAAAAGCGAATACAGGCATTTCTAAATGTCTCAATAAGAATGGCAGTAAACGCCCCATGGTATATCCCAAATAGATTTATCTATAGGGACCTGAACATAAACCCAGACTACATAGACAACTACATAAGACAACACGCGGAGACGCGGAGACTACATTCGGAAGAACGGAAACCCACGAGAACCCGCTACTGCACGACCTGGCCAACAGACAATTAAATCAAGACCCGAGCTTCGGAAGAATAAAGTACAGGCGCCCAATTCACCAAATATAAGATGAAAGAACGAAATTAAATCAAAATCAATAAAAGTTGCATAATAATCATCAGATAATTAAACAAAAGAGTCTCTCCTTTGATACCCTATAAAAAAGTAAACCAATAATATTAGAGAGTTGAAGTGTTGTCATGAACGTTAACGTAAACGTAGAAATTGACAGCTACGCATGCGCATTTTCCAATTCTTCACGTTTGCGTTGTTAGTGGGCTTACGGGTGTACGTTATCTCACGTACCTTCACGTATGCCTTAAATATCAACGTACGTTAACCAAACTATACTCGAAATATGCCGATGAGTCAAAATTATCAAATTCGAGATCACCAACGAGTTCTGCATCAAGGAGTCCTCTCATTTTGACAGGAATAAATGTTCGAATCTAAACACACAACCAAAATTGACCAATACAAACCGAAAACAAAATGTATTATTACGTTATTATGACAGTGACGACTTCAACTCAATTTAACGACAATACGTAAACGTTATTTTTCGTACCTTAACGTCTACGTGGAGGTCTACGTACAGTGATTACTTCAACTCTCTAATAAGAAATAAACTCAATTTTGCTTCCCTATTAGGGTAGGGAACCACCACGCAAAGTCAGGCAAAAGTCGGAAGACTGAAACCAGGGATTATACACTCCTGAAACCAAGTAAGGGGTTTTATAAAACATATGCAGATTGCCAAATGCATAAGGTTGAAGTCCACTCGTTAGTGAGGGGGGGTGGATGGACATGGGGATGAGGAGCTATCATATAACGTAAGCTAGTTATATGGCGGCACTTGATCCTGGGCATTCAACCTTCCGAGGGGCGTGGAGATATATGGATGTACTCTTCCCAGGACTTGTGGAGGATGGAAGATGCGAGGATCCTTTATCTAAGCGAAAAACATATTCTTGTCCTTGTCTGGCAAAACATATGAGTTACTTCAAAATCGTTTGTTTGATTGACACTGCTTGTCGAGTGTCCGTACTCTGATATACAAAAAACGTCAGAACAGCAGTGTCAAGTACATTTAGGAACTCTACTGAGAACTATCCCCGGGATTATTGAAGGCAAACAGCCGGCTAGGCCAAAAAAGAGGGAATCTTTGGGTCTCCTCTCGGAATCTTGCATGAACAATTCGGAACCCGAGGACTTTCTGGTAGAAGCCGACCCTTTGTCAACCACCCTCTCTGTGGTGCAAGAAGATATCGGCACAGTATCAGTATCTTCTGCGGTGCAGGAAAATCTCCTGTCTCGGATGCACGGACGTGACGTCACTTCCGTGTCCACGACGACTTTGGTCGAGAAGAAGAACGATGATTTGAAGAAGTTGTGCGAGAACAAGGAAGTTTGCGAGCAGCTGATGCAGTTGCTGCATTGCCATAACCGACAGATGATATGGAACGTCTTCCAAAGCATGGACCACAGTGTGCATCTGGATATTTCCAAAAATCTGGTGTTGGACCATCAGAAAGCAGGGTGAGTTATAATGATGATAATAATAATAACGTTTATTTGTAATTCATTGCTACAATTACTAAATTAATTGCTACTCATTTCTTAATAAATATTGTTATCAAAGGTACCTTCAATTTAAAAGTACCACATTTTTATTTTAACAGTATGACAGGGTTAATTAATATATTGTCATTATAATTCCTATAGCATGAACAGATAAATAGTATTCATACTGGTATGAGACTGTTCATGAAGCTTTTCTAAAATTATATATTTATTATTTCATCGAATGTGCCCAGCAAACATTTTTACATTAATGGCCTAATATAAACTACTCAACACTAATTTCGTGGCACCTCAAAATTTTGCCTCTGTTGAAATATGAACTTTTTTCTGCTTTGAACGATTTGAATTCGGATCACACTGTTCGCTAGCCCAGTCCTTCAGCTATAATATCGTAATTCTTTAAAACATAAGGTTCTTCACATAAAATCGCTATCTGTTGACATTTGACATCTCATATTTGGATTGACGTCATGTCTCCTTTTGTTAATTTTTCTCCGTGTAGGTGCTAAATTGAGCTACCTCTATTTTTATATAGCTGCTCACTGATTGACTGACAGGTATACTTTGTAAATTTAAGCCCCTGTTTAGGAAAGAGATATTACACAGCACAAGCATCTCACGATGCTTAGAGTGTTTATCTCTCTCTCCTTTCAGAGTGGCAACTAACCTATATATATATATATACAAATCGAATTACAAAATGTTACACATGTATACTAATCTACTGCTGAATGAACTGAAACTGAAAACTGAAACTATTAATTAAATGGCCGTCATCTGGTATGCTTGTTCACTAGGTTAGGTTAGGTTCCATGTGAGTGGGGCGAACACCTCCCCTCCACTGCGACCCCAGATGGGTCTATTGTGGCTCAACCCTAGAGGTTACAGTTCACCGTACAATCCACATCTTTTTACAAAGTTCATGGTTGAATTGGGTGAGATTTGTCTGAAATCGATAGGTTCTAGGTTGGTAAAGCCAAATGTGTCGAACCTTAGTCTTTCTAAGCTAGAGCATGAACATAATAATATGTGTTCAGCCGTTTCGTCTTCCACACAACAGAACCGACAGTTCGTTTGTTGCTTCAGACCCATCCTTCCCAGGTGGTATCTTAGACGACAGTGTCCCGTAAGCAGTCCAGTCAGAATTCGCAGGTTACCCCTGCTCCATTCTAGGATCTGCCTGGTTATTTTTTCCGATGGTTTAGGCAGGAACGCCTTCGAATGGGTTAATCCTGGTAATTCGGACCAGTACGTGAGTGTTTTTCCCTCCGCCCAGCCCGAGATAGTTGTTTTCGCCGCACTTGCGGTGACCCCAAAATATGGTTCTGGTCCTATGAACACAGATTCGGTTCCCTGTTTGGCGAGGATGTCGGCTTTCTCGTTACCCTCCACCCCCTGGTGTCCAGGCACCCACAGCAAAGTGACTCTGTTGTTAGCACCCAGGCTTTCTAGGGATTCAATGCAGCTCCATACAAGCTTGGAATTTATCTTGCTGGAGCTCAGTGCTTTAAGAGCAGCCTGACTGTCTGATACAATACTGATATTTTTGTTTACTAGAGGTTTATTCGACAACTCTCTAGCACACAATGCAATTGCTAATACCTCCGCCTGAAAGATTGTAGCATATTTGCCGAGATTGACGGAAATTTCCGTCTTCGGTTTTCTGCTGAACACACCGGCTCCCACTCCACGATCGGTTTTCGAACCATCTGTGTACATTACGTGTTCGGTCTCTGGGAATCGGATTGATCCGCTTGCCCATTCGTCTCTCTTCGGGAAGAGGACTTTGAAAGACTTTTTCACGTGTGTCTGAGTGGCCAACATGTCGGAAACCATTCCTAGAGTTTGGTGATTTTTTGTTTCACACAGTATCCCGGAGTGGTCCAGCAGTCGCCCCCCTCTGATTTGATTTTCCAATGACAGGAATCTGTAGGAAACCATCCTGGCTTCCCTCTCCAAGACAATGTGGAGGGTAGTGAGGTTCAGGAGGTTTTCCATCGCTGCCGTTGGAGTAGAGGACATCGCCCCTGTAATGGCCAGGCACGCCAGCCGCTGGAGACCAGCAAGCTTTGCCCTGGCTGTTCCCTGCAGACCTTTAGTCCACCAAATATGAAAACCTCGCCATAAAAATCATATTTTCTGTTGAATTTTCTGTATAAAAATGTGTCATTGAAGTACATCATGAGTATGTAAAAGTGTCCAATGACAAAATAAGAGAAAGTACCTGTAAGTACCAATAAAAATTTTCGAAAAAAACCCATCGCATGCTAAATGCAGTTTCACCCAAAGTTTGTTCCAAGGTAGACCTTTCAGTACTTGACATTTGAAAAAAAAAATATTAAAATCGGTTCACAACTTGAAATTTCAGGGGGGTATTTCCATTAAGAATGGGTCACACTACATAGATATAGGTCTTTGTGGGAATGGTGGTACCAAACATTATTATGTTAGGCATACTGAGTTCCGCCTTTGTAGGTTCAACATCGCATCCTGCGGCCGAATTCATTTATTTTATGTTACTACTAAGAATATTCGTTAACGGCGCCGTACATTATGCTATTTACCAGCAAGTTCGATGCAATGCAATTTTGAATCGAACAATGCGCATGCGTCTATGATATTTCACCGCAAGTTTCATGCAAGTTTCGTAATAGAACCAGTCCTATTTTTCCTGCAATTTCAAGGCAAGTTTAGTAAAATTTTTAGTAATATTCATCGTAGCATCTTGATAAAACACAAATTTTCTCCATAACATGGCCTGAAACACCAAATAACCTCAAAAAATACATTGAAGGCTCAAAAAACCTGAAAATAGTGAATATGAACAAGAAAATATGACAGAAATATCTCAATGTACGGCGACTCGCAATAAATTGAGAAAATTGCGAGAAAATTGCATTGCCTCAAACTTGCCGAGAAATAGCATAATGTACGGCGCCCTTTAAAAATTGTTGGCGTTCGAAAATGCGTTGAAAAAATGTAAGAAATAAAAGTAGAGAATTTCATTCTTACTTTTGAAGGGGCAAAATAAATCAGGACGACATCAGCCAACTTCGTTTTCTCCATGTCCAAAACGAATTCAAGATATTGAAACAGAAAGCCATGTTGAAGCAATTGGAACACCAAGTCGATGCCAAAAAGAAAAATGTCCACGTAAGTCTCAAAGTCCCCTGACTAGCGTTCCTCTATCGAATTCACACCTAACATTTTTGACCAATTGAAAGCCTGTATTTTGTATCGTTACCATAGCAACTAGACACATTTTTGGAAATTTGTTCCTCATTGGTAAAAGGAGCTTGGAACTACAATAGATTTTTTTCACGTTACATTTAACTTCAGATTATGTCGAATTCATTCTATAATTAAGTTGATGAGGTTCTTGGAAGAAAATATATATACAGGGTGTTACATAATTCAATAGAAATATTTTAATGACATATTCCTGGGGTCAAAATAAGACTTTTTTTTCCTATAAACATGTGTCCTAAAATCCACCCCCTTCAAGCTACAGACATCGCAAGATGCGCAAAAAAAATCTTAAATTTAGAATTGTGGCTACAATTATGCATCAAATATTCTGAAAATTCACAGGCACTTGTATTTTTAGACGATTTATTCATTTCTTGATTCAAAAATAAGGTAACTCGAATCGAAAGGGGCGAATGAGGGTTGCATACAGATTTGATGGCAAACATTTTCTATTTCCTCCAAAAAAATTTGAATTCAAACATCATCGTTGAATTGGCCACTAAAAGTCATACATTTCAGTCTCTTGCATTTCTTGAAGTAGCTAACCGTTTTAGAGAAAATCGCTAGTAAATGAAAATGGTGTATTTTCAAATTATTATACTGAAAAAACTTAGTGAGCTATGATTATGTTTGTCTCTGGTAACTAATGATTAATTAATATCTTTTATGCCAAACTGACATTGTGGTATGTCATAACCGTCATGTCACAATCGATTCACTTTCCTCAACTTGCGATGTCTGTAGCTTGGAGGGGGTGGATTTTAGGACACATGTTAATAGGAAAAAAAAAGTCTTATTTTGACCCCAGGAATATGTCATTAAAATATTTGTATTGAATTATGTAACACCCTGTATATACCAACTTTAGCTGAACGAATTCGTAAAAAAACTGAGCTGCTATCGACTCATTTTTTATTATTTCATTTAACTAAAGTCGTTTAATTATATTCTATTCAACCTAATAATGCTTTAGTATTATTTTAAGTAACTAACGTAAGTTGATGGTGTTATATATTATAGATATTGCTTCAAGTTCCTTGTAACAAAATGTGTTTCCACCAACTTTACTGGAATAAAGTTTTAGTCATTAATAATGGTTTGAATTACCACCGGCTGCCTTATCAATATTTTGCATAACTAAAGTTGGTATTTTGTATATTATTCAGCGTAGTCTTTTCCTAGTATTTTTCTAATAATATTTCGGTGTGAAATTTTCTTACCGAATACCACTCTTACTTCAATTAAATACCGGAATTTTTTCGAGAACACGAATATTTTGAAAATTCGTGTTCTCTAAAAAATTTCAGGTAATAATTGAAGCTCTCGTAGTATTACATATAAATGAACTTTCTTTTGTTTTTTTAAGGTTTTCTTGTCGGATAGGGGTATATCCGCGAAAAAACTGGAAAAACTGTTTGAATTGTTGTACAGAGACGCGAATTTGGATGCCACTCTGACGGCGATGAAGAAGGAGATCACTGCCGCCAAAAGTTCCCAGGAAAAGATCGATTTGCTCATCGTGTCTGGGAAATTGGCCAAAGTGAAAGAAAACATAGTTAGTAAGCCATTTCGAAGTTAACAACAAATTCAACAGCAGCATTGGCTAAATTAATAACTGAATACACCTGAAATGTCTCCTAAATTCATCAATTCAATTCCCAATCGGGTGCATCATGAAAAATTAATGGCAAAAAAATGTCCAAGTATTCATCACTCGAGCTTGAATCATGGTCAACAATCGTAGGAACCATTGTCTGCTCAATATGGAGAAAAAATTCTAGTGAGCTGGAGTATCTGGTCTGCCCAAACAAGGGAAATCACCTACAGGGTTCTGTGGCCGATACAGTAGTATAGTTCATCCAAAAACAATTGAAGATTCTCGTGCCGCACCTGCAGTCACTTCAAAGGAAACTTCATACACGCCGACGCCGCACAGTGCGAGATATTCTGCAATTGATATTGGATATACTTTACCGCCATACGGTCAACTCGAGGAAACACTATTTAAATTGTTTTCCTGTCAAACCTACATAACCTTGAAAATCGTGAATGAGTTGGAGCCTCCCTCAGTGGTTCTCTCGGCAGTCTCGGACGGCGGCGTAGTTTATTCAGTGAGTTTGAGTTCAGTCACGACATTCACGGGTCACGGTCACTTAGGGTCCCTTGATGTAAATTGACGTATTTGTCATCTTAACAGGGTACGGACAGATCATAGCTGCATTCTTTTTTAATGATCTAGAGACTTTAGTTTTGTCTACTGGCATCCTGGCATCCCTGACATTGCTGTCACGTCACATCCATTGGCGCTACAAAAAAATCATTCAAAATTTCAATAATAGGTATGTACAGGGCATTTACTTGTTGAGGAAGATCATATGGCGAACGAGTTTTGTAATTATGATCCGATTCTATCCATAATTGAAAGGTATCTGGGGTTTTTCGGGGTCGGAGATTATAATTATTTCGTCAAAATTGGAAAATTCAAGATGACGGATCCAATATGGCGAAAGATATTTCTAATTATGATCTGATTCTATTGAAGATTGGTATCTGGGGGTTTCCGGGGTTGAACTTTATGATTTTATTGTCAAAATTGGGATATTCAAGATGTAATAAATGGTTGTTTGAAAAATCAATTAAACACGCGTACGTAGATACTTAGTCGAATTTAGAAGAAGTAGAGAATGAATAGTAGTTTAAAAAACTGAAGAGATAGATTGCCGAGCTGAAAAGGAGTATAAAATGAATAGTATTATAAAAAACTAAAGAAACATGCTTTTATGGACAGCCGAACTAAAAAGAAGTAGAAAATGAGATAAATAAAGTGTGCTGGTAAATATTCAACTAAAAGAATGCTTTTTTCAGAAATATTTTGCATAGCAAAACAACGTTTGCCAAGTCAGCTAGTAATCTAGTAATGATATTTATTATTCGTTCCCAATACAATTTGTATATTGTTGAAAAAAGAAAATATTGACCGTGTCAAATGATTTCTGAATGTTAATGATTATAAAATACAAGAAAATAAAAAGATTTTACGATTGAATAAGTTATGCACATAGTGTGATATTAGTCACTCCATAAATTCTTCTCCGAGTTGGATTTCCGAGAATATATTTAGCACACATGACAAGATCACAGTAGTTTAGATACCCCGAGAGATACCCACATCGAAGTTTTCACCATTTCTCAATCATAAGCTCATTCAGCTCCTAGATAAACTGCTGCTCAGCTTGAAATAATCCGAATTCAATCAGTCAATTCAGTCAACCCTGGTATACAGTCTAACAACAGTATCTTTTGGTGGAGTATACCAGGTGTCCCAGTATACCTGTTCCAATGAATTATCTCAGCCATTTCGAAAACTAAAGTTCGAAAATTCCATGATCTCCAATTGGTTCAAGGAAGCTTCAACTGAGACAAACAAAAATTCAAAGTCACTTCCGGTTTGACCGGAAGTGACTAACTTTTTTATTTCAAATAGCACCCTGTATATTTTTCGCAATTTTTGAATTCTACTCAAAATTACCGTTCCAACGATGTATCACACTTTGTATTTTAAATTTGATTTGATTGAGAAAACGACAATTGAAATTTCATATTGAAGAAATTGCAGTAGGCTACGATATTTTTGTAATCTTGATTTTGATTTCAATAATAATTTCAAATTATCAGAATTGTAGTAGATCATGTAATTTTCAAATTTTCATCTTTTGAAATGACTGAGATAATCTATTGGAACAGGTATACTGGGACACCCGGTTTAAAGCTTTCAGTACAATTTATATGTTTCCTGCCTCGCAAAGGTTATGCTGGACTAGTAAACTCTAAAACTAGAGGATTGTTCATATTATATATCTTGGTATAGTTGAGTCAGGAATTCCATATGAAAATTCCGTATGATACGCCAGTGACCTCAATATAACCTAAAAAACAACAAATGTCAAAAATCTAGTGTTTATCCCCAGAATTGAATAAGGATTTGTTTGTTTGTTTTGTTCTAAAATTTGTTCTATCCGTCATTCGGTTGCCCCCTTACGAGCAACCCTCAAAAGTCTTCGAAAGTCTTGTGCGAGCAAGGAATGACGGGGGTCTTACCTTTTAACGTGTGATCCCAAACACTTTCTTGGGCCATCAGAAAAATTTCTGCAGTCGACGGGGATCGAACCCACGACCGGCAAGCGAATGCGAATTAGAATATAGACACTCTGTCCGCACGGCTACCTGGCCAGGATGGAACTATATAACTGTTTCACAAACACTTTAGAGTGAGAGGAGACGAGGATCTGCCCGTACCCTGTTAAGATGACTTTAACGTCAATTTCCATCAAGGGACCCTACGGTCACTCAGTCACTCAAAAATTCAAGAATAGTTCATGCAGTTGTGGAGATATGACAGATATGTAGAGACCGAGCCCCCTTACTGGCATACTGGCCCTTACAGCTCTGGGGCCGATTCTCGAATCTGTAGGAATTAGATCCTATAGGAGAATGATCCAATGCTTTCAGTTCTCATAGGAAATGATGATTTGTCATGACACCTATTCTTGAACGAGATGGAATCGTTTTTCCCATGAGAGGTAGAATTAGTATTATCGATTATTAGCTTTTGATCAGGGCTCTGATTTTCTTACTTGTAATGATCCTGTAACACTCAGTATAGAATGTATCCACTCATGTTGCAGAGGAATATCGCTTGAAAATCCATGAATGGAGATGGTTTCACAATTTCTGGTAGGCACAATAAGAGGAGACAGAAATAGTTACACATTGATAATCAGAATAAACTACTATAATACTGGGAGCACAACACTATGAACGAAAGAAATATTAGAACAATGAGAATTGAAAAGGAATGGTATTTTAGAAAAAAATACAAAACATGCCACGATGGCATGACAGCTCTTGACACTGACAACTAGTGACAACTTACATAACCACAAATTTCGAAATTTTTCTAGAAAAAAGTGACGATCATTTCGTAGGATACGGTAATATCCTCTAGTGGTCCTACACTCAACTGAGCTATAAGGAAGACCAGTAGTTCCAGCCCACTAGATGTTTTCTCCATAATTAGCAGACAATGGTAGGAACTATGGAAGCTACAAGAATCGATTGCTCTACCATGTTGAATATTAAATTTCTAAAATTTATATCAAGCAGGAGGCTAACTATCTAGTTCAGATTAGAGTCACTGGCTGGTCGTATTTGTTGGATAATACTTCGGACACAGAAATGAAAACTGTTAGTGTTGGAATGATTGGATGAATGAATATTTTTAAATATTAATAATGTTATAACTACCATCTCGATTACGGGGGGGGGGGGTGGAATTTGGTGATCTCGAGAGTATATTATATTTTCATATAGTCGTCAAGATACCTATGTCTGTAATTTCTCGTGTTGTTGATTTTTGAAAAATGTAATTTTGACACTTACTTCAAAAATATATAATTTTTATCCACGTTTATTAGAACTTCATTATTGATAATCTGGTGAAACTACAACAGTATGGTTGGTAAAGTTTTACACCTTTTTGATCAAAAACATTCTCCGGACATTTTGAAGGGGGGCTGTGAGAAATATTTTCATTGAAAACTTTGGTAATGGATATTTTCAAAAAAGAATCTCGAAATCGGTAACACTTTTATAAGGGGAATTTTGTCATATGCAGGTGGGCTATCCTTTGATCTACATTTTCCCTAGATTTGACGTGGTCTTTACGGGACACCCTGTATATGCATGTGGACTTTGGCAATGAGAATTCTATTCTTCAGACAATAAAATATATTTTTCTGCAACCGACACAAAAGTCGTCCATTTTGATACCAAAATTAGCTCTTAAATTGACGTTTATATTACTGACACAAAAATAGGTATGTTGCTAGGCAACATATTTAGTTCCTAGGAGCTAAAGTTGAATTTTAGTTCCTAGGAGCTAAAGTTAGGAACTAAAAAGGATGTACTGGAAGTCATCAAGAATAAACAACATTGTAATGGTTGGTTATTTGGGTCGAGACGCATACCTGATTTGTTTCCGATTTCAGCGGATTTGGCATTTCATACCCATGCTGGAGATATAAATACACCTTGTTATAGTTTAGTATTGGAATTATAAACATCTCAGTTGAGTATTTTTGTTTTGATCAGGGAAGCCTTCAAGATTCAAATATACTTGCTTGATCTGTACCTATTTCATTCGTTATTCTCGGGATGGATAACTTGAATAATCACAGCAAGCAATAGTTTTTTTGTCTCAAACAACGATATTGTTTAGCTTCATTTGATTATCAAGTCAAACACAGTGTAGTATGGAGAGGAATAAATAATCACTATTATCATTGTTGATATGCTCACTAACCTAACATTTTCCACGTCTTGTTCCTATAGCTGGCACTGGCGCGGTATTTGCCATTAGAGCACCTGGTCCATACACAAATATGTCACTCTGTGGTTGTGTGGTTGTATTTATATTGAAACTAGGTAGAATATTCTCACCACATAGATTATTTGTCAATATTTGTATTATTTGTTGCATTGCATACATATGGCACGGCATTGGTGGTTACTTCACATGTTTATTTGTGTTAATTGTTTCGGTTGCAGAAAAAATAGCATGTTTCATTCGGATCAAAAGTGACTTTGTTCGACTCGCAAATTTTGCTTTCGCTCGGCTTCGCTAAACGCTCCGCCTCGCAAATGCAAAATTCGCTTGTCAAACAAAGTGTCACTTTTGATCCTAATAAAACAATCTACTATTTGATATGATTTGATAAACACTCAATAATTTTTTTTTCTCAAGGAAACGAAGTTGTTTTCCATTCAGAAAAATATCGGAGCCGTTCAAGAAATTCTCACTTTGACCAGTCGCACTCGCAATGAGACCATAGCCTGCGTCCACAAACTGGTGCCTTTCATCGATGACATGTCCTGGTCGTCACCTTTAGTGGAAGGTCTATTTTCAGATGAAATAAGGACGTTCGAGAAGTTCCCATTGGAATATAACAGAAGATCTGTACACGTGTAGGTATCGAAAGTTTTTTCAGTTACCTCAAGTTGTTCTACAGTGTGTCCAGTTTTCGATGCTTTTACGTGATATCTGTTATCTTCGGAGATAGAACCTCATGGTTTTCGCGGTCCTGTGCCACTTTTTTGTGAAACTCGAAATGGCCTATTCTGATTTTGCATAGATGTTTGCGTTCATGAGATACACAGTGATTTTGAAAATTTATACTTTTTTAACCCCCTCTATATCTACGAAGTTTCAAATATCGGATTAAAATCTTTTCCCATAGAGAATTTCACGCAGAATCCAGTGGCGCACTCAATTTTTTTTTTCCGGGTACGGTTTTGCAGATACGACTCAAACTTATGATCTTTCTAATAGAACACCCTGTATTTTATAACCTCATTGAATTCCTTATCTTATTTTTTCCCTTCAAAATAATATATGATGTATAGATATAAAATTTTCAAAAATGCTCAAAAATCACTAAAACATTGAAATTTAATAGAGGACTATGAATTTTTCTTATAAAAAAGTTCCAATTGATGGAATATTTCTATCTATTTTTCCATGTAGAAGACAAAAACAATATCAACACTAATTAACTAACAAAACACAAGTTAGGTAACTGAAAGCAACAAATAAATAGTAATAAAAAGTTCTTGATGTAGAATAAGCACCTGATCAAATATTCACTAAAACGAATTTCGAAATTATTCAGTAACTTATTCATTGAATTGTTGTTGTTGATGTCCATTTTCCCTAACACAAATGACACACTTTCTCAATATGTATTATAGAGTAAGAGGCAAAAGAATCTTGAAGAACTTCGTGCGACAACAGAAGCAGTTTTTCCTTAAATTACAAACACATCCTTAAATTATTTTGAATGCATAAGACGTATTGAGAAAATGTGTGAGGGAAAATGGACATCAGTTTGAACAATTCAATGAATAAGTTACTGAATAATTTCGAAATTCAATTGTTTTAGTAAATATTTAATCAGCTGCTTATTCTAGATTATGAACTTTTTATTGCTATTTATTTGTTACTATCTGGTAACAAAGTTTTGTGTTAAGTTAGTTAATTAGGGTTGGTATTGTTTTTGTCCTCTTCATGAAAAATCAAAGGAAATATTCCTTCAATTCAAATTTTTTTTTATATGAAAAATCCATACAATTCGTTTAAAATTCAATGTTTCAGTGATTTTGGAGCATTTTTGAAATTTTTATATTTATACATATATCATTTTGAAGGGACAAAAAGGAATTTAATGAGCTGATAAAATAATAATAAAGTTTGAGTCGTATGTCCATTACCATACCCCGAAAAAAAAATCGAGTGCGCCACTGGATTGTGCATACAATTCTCCATGGAATTACAGTTTAATTTGATATTTTCGCTGAGAAACTTCGTAGACATAGAGGGGGTGCAAAAAGTATGAATTTTCAAAATCGCCCTGTATCTCAAAAACGGAAACAGTTATGCGAAGTCTGATTAAGTCATCTTGAGTTTCACAAAAAAGTGGCACAGGGCCGCGAAAACCGCAAGGTTGTATCTCCAAAGATAACTGAGATATCACACAGAAGCATCAAAAACTGGACACACTGTGCAGGTGATCGTTCATCATAAATTCTCATCTGTAACTTTCTTGTTTATGAAGGTATTTGAAGATTTCTTGACCAAGTTGATGGGACTCTCAATGGGCTTGTATCAGTGAAAAATTTTATTGTCGCAAACCGTTTTTTCCTCAGAGCTTTGTAACTTTTTCGAATAATTATTGGAATTCACGATATTTCATAACCTAAAGAACGCGGGAAAACGCGTGACCTAATCATCCGAGAAGACCATATAAGATTCGACTTATCAATTCTCTATTTCTGATAGACAAGTGCAAGAATATTTCTGATTGTCATTTCAATCAGAATATGGAATAAATTTTTATGAGTTTTTTTTTTAATATTCGCATCTTGACAAGAGGAAACAAGGATTGACGATGAAGGTGGCAGACGATATTAACGTCAGGAAGTTAGGTTGACAATATAGTTTGTCTTCTTCTTCAACATGGGTTGCGTGCAAGAACTGTCAGATGACCGACGCTGGAGGCAAAACATTGAAACACAACGTCACTTTTCTTATTCTTTTACAAGTGATCGAAATAGTTTTCCACAATTATTTTGGCATATGAATAGTATTTTTCCGCTATTCATCAATTGGCTCATGCCATCACATTGTGCAGTTGAAAAATGCACAAAAACTGCAGCGGAAGATGAAGGAATCCGGATGGTACATTATGATTTAAAAGTAAGTACCTACTATAGTCACTCACATATAGTTTTCATTTTTGAAATTTGGTAATTTCTCTGATTTCTCATCGGAATTCCTTCTGCAATAGGAGCTTATAGAAATTTACCTGAAATTTCTAGAATAATGCAAGAAGATTGGATTCATGCAATCAATCTGGAGGACTGGTCTGACATCTGACGGTCTGACGATCGTGTGTGTTGTAGACATTTTCAATCTATTAGCAGTATTAGCTTGTATTACAGAAGTGGCAGAAGGCAGAAGGAATTTTAATAAGGAATGACAACATTTCATAATGATAACTATGTGAGATTACTATTTACCTGAAAAATCATATTCCCTAGTCTCTGCTGCATTTTTTGTGCATTGTATAACAGCACAATGCGAAGGCATGCTTGAATTAATGAATAACGCAAGAAACACGATTCGTATGACAAAATATTGTGAAAAACTATTTCAACCTTTTGATTTCTCTGTTAACAAATAAAAAAGTGAGGTTGTGTTTCAATATTTCACAGAAGAGTGAGGTTGTGTTTCAATATTTTGCCTCCAGGGTCGGTCATCGTGCACGCGACCTATACTGTGTTCTATTTTCAGAGATCCATCGATTTTCTATAAAGACCTCTGCATCTCGAATTTGCCTTCTGATGAAGATATCGACGATCAAACCTTGTACATACTGGGCGAAGCTTTGGAAAATCCATCGAGTTTTCCCGAAATAGTAGTCTTCAACATTCTCAAAGCCAAATTGAAGCTGGACGTATTGAAATCCATGCAAAAAGTTCCTGAAATCTCACACCAGCAGAAATGTAAGTGAAACTTCAACAGAAACGAGCACAAATTATAAGAATAATAATTTTTATTATTATTATCAATATTATTAATTATTTAATCATTATTAATAGACAGGAGCTGTTACAAGGTGTTTCGAATTGATTTACTATCTACTGGGATTCAATTGGTTCAAAATTCAGAAATCTGATCACCCTATATTTGTTCCGTTTTGTCAATAATGAATTGTTTTGACAAAAAAAAATCCAAAGGTTGAAGAATCTCGATTTTGAACATCCTATATTTCTGTAATTATTCTTGCTAGACCCTAGAGTCCCTTGATGGAAATTGACGTTAAAGTCAAGATGTATGTTTTGTTGTATACATATATCCCTATTATAAACAATAATGTTTCTTGGGGTAATAAAGACAATCAAACTTTAACGTCAATTTCCATCAAGTGACCCCACTAGACCCCAGTGTGGTTTATTGATGGAATAGTCCAATAAATGAAGGAGGAAAAAAAGGTAAAGTTAACGTTAATTACGCACTATTTTCATCTTCCGGTTGGAAGTAGCTTTTGGTACCTCATTAAACATGAGACAATAAAGTTTGACTGGAAAACGCGTGCGATGGCGGAGAAAATGGCCCCAAAAGACCAGGAGAATAGGTTTTCAGCCAATATCTCCTAAAATATGGCAGTTAGAGATTTTCGGTTCAGATAAAAATTGAAGTTCAGTTAATTTTCTACAAAAATGGTCCCTATCATTTTTCTCGAAAATTTGCCCGGTTTCGAGAAAAACGGCACGAAGCGCACCTCGAATAATGAGCTTCTGTGTTGTATGCCGGAGATCACAGTCCGTGTATTTACACATCGGCGGGGGGACAAATTATTCAATAACTTTGTTAAAAATGCATATTTTCTCATGATTTAAAGTTCATGTGAAAAAGGAATTCTGCTGCTATCATACCCTGCGTGGCCGCATGGTTTGTAGCAGACGACCCGAGCGCCACGTAGAGCACACACGCGGCGAATGACGGAGGAACGAAAGTAATAAATTATAGCGTGTACATTTAGATATACTGGTTTTTTTCCCGGGATATCAAAGGTATGACTTATGTACATCGATGGAAAGGTGGGAATTCCCCCGTTACACTAGTTAAGGTGTTAAAATGTTAGAAATAAAGAGCACGGAGAAAAAAAAAGTGCGTTTTTTCATTGACCCCGCTTTTTCTAATTTTATTGAAAAATGGACGACTTCGTCTAAAAAAGTAATTGCACAATCGAAAAGTAGACCTTCTTAGCTTTCAAATGATGTATTGTAGAAACCAATCGGATCATGTATAAATTTTTAATTGATGGTTGTTCACAAAATTTCCCCGCGCTTCAAAAACAGCAAAAAATTGGGATTCAATAAACAAAGATTAAATGAAAATTTAAAAAAAATAGGGTATACAAATTTCAGGGATGACAAAGGACCTTATGAGGACCCATAATCAAGAAAATTTTGAGTAAATTAGTGCAATACAAAAAAAATAGGAACAAATTCCTGGCGAGGTCAAAATTGACCGGGAGCAGAAAGTTTGACCCATGTTCCGATATGGCCAAAAGAGTCAAGCGTGACTTTGAATCATGAGAAAATATGCATTTTTAACAAAGTTATTCAATAATTTGTCCCCCCACCGATGTGTAAATACACGGACTGTGCACAGAAGCTCATTATTCGAGGTGCGCTTCGTGCCGTTTTTCTCGAAACCGGGCAAATTTTCGAGAAAAATGATAGGGATGATTTTTGTAGAAAATTAACTGAACTTCAATTTTTATCTGAACCGACCATATTTTAGGAGATATTGGCTGAAAACCTATTTTTCTGGTCTTTTGGGGCCATTTTCTCCGCCATCACACGCGTTTTCCAGTCAAACTTTGTCTCATGTTTAATGAGGTACCAAAAGCTACTTCCAACCGGAAGATGAAAATAGTGCGTAATTAATGTTAACTTTTTCCCTTTATTTATTGGACTAGAATGAGCTGTTCAGGGGAAATCTAAAAAATCAACTAGTACCCTGTAGATCGTTTGTTCCGAGCACCCTGTATTTTCTGATGTAGCGGGTGGAAAATTAATCAAAAATCATATCAAATGATTCTTCAAATTTTGGAATCGGTTCAAAAATAACTGAGCTAGAGGGGGGGAGCATTTATGGTGAATCGCCCTGTACATAAATAACTATTCTCAGACACCTTCGAGGACCTCGAGTCGCAGGAAAGTTACGTACAGTACGCATTGGAGCGTTTGAACACCCTCCTGCATTCCACGTCGACGATGAGGACGCTGAATTCCGCTGCTTCCGCCAAAAAAGTGATGGACATTTGGCTGGAAATGCCGCTCAAGGATTTCATATCGCCGAACATCAAAGTGGACGGCAACGAGTACAGCTTTTACGAGAAACAGTACGATAGGTTTTATAATGATTTGTGAAGTTTGGCTGTCGCCTTAAGTAAGAGAAGAAGCTTCGAGAACAGGGTTGCCATCTTGTGAGTTATAACACATTTGTGAGTTATTTCATGGGCTGTGAATGATTTTGTGAGTTATGGCCAATTGTGAGTTATTTGTCAGTTAACTATCCGACGTCAGCGACATTCAAAGTAAAAGATATGCATTGATAATCTGAAATCCACGCTTTACAGCCAGTAATTTATTATTTCATCACTTCTCATTCGTTCCAAAAAGGAACACGTCGCCACTGAAGCTTTAACCTTGATGAAAAGAAGACAAAAATAGAAGAAGAAGACAGGTGACAGTATACCTGTGCTGTGCATTAGACCACAGATTACCACAGAAGACCACTGAATTAATTTCAGTATCAAGGTCTTCGCGATCTGGCATCTGTCAAAACCGGTCTTATTTCCCATATATCTACTACCCTCATATATGAAGCATAGCTGTCCTCAAAGCGGGACCAACTTATTCTGTCTCTATAGGTAACGAAATCGACCAATAGGCGTTGATGCCGACGTAGGGAAAAAATAATACGAAACTTGTCAAACCAATATGGCTGTTTCCATCCTTCACTTTCCGTCCTAATAGATTCAAAAAGTACCTCTCATTTTGGTCCCATTTTTGTTGAGATATCGTATAGGCCATGGGCCATATACAGGGTGTTAACAAATAAGTGTCACAACGGAAAACTGTAGATTGCTCATGGAAAATGATACACATTTTTCCCTATCGAAATTTTTCTCCGGGCTTCTGTTATCAAGATACAGGGCGTCAAAAAAATACAAAAAAATCTGTTTTTTGCTAATATCTCAGGAACCGTCGGAGCTACGGAGCTAAGCCTTCGTACACACTTCATCATCAATAATGACTACTTTTAGGGTTCTTGATCAAATTCCTTGGACATGTCAGTGGGAGAGAATTCAACGCCTCGTAAGGGTTTAACCCCCAAACATTTATGCCACTAGAGAGATTGTAATTCACAAAGTAGATTCTGAAGCGCCAATATCTTTCACACAAAAAACGTCCTCTTGTCTCAATGCTCTAAAGTGAACAGTTTCCGCGAAAAATGGCTCTTTATGAATAAGAACATACAAAATCCTGATAGTATCTCCAAAAATCGTCTAAAAATCCACTGGAAATAAACACCTCAGAACTGTAATAATATGTTCAATCAAATGTCAGGTTCTTGAGTATGCTGGTCTCGATCCTGGTTTTCGGATTGTCAAGTTTATTAAGTGTTGTAAAGTGTGTTTAATTAATCTGAACATTTTTTATTTTTTGACGCCCTGTATCTTGAAAAAGGAAGCCCGGAGAAAAATTTTGAAGCGGAAAGAAATATTTCTTTTATTATGAGGAATCTACAGTTTTCCGTTGTGACACTTATTTGTTAACACCCTGTATAGAAATAGTAGATATAGGATTAGACCACAGATCACATTATTTTCAGTATCATGGTCCTCGCGATCTGTCATCTGTCAAAACCTGTCTTGTTTCCTATTTTATTGACAGATGGTGCCAGAAAAAGGCAAACGTTATAAGTTTATTATCAATTTTTTTCATATTTTTCATTTTGTATCATTTATTTATGAAAAATCTGCCTTGATGTTGATATTTTGATAGTTGTGAGTTCTTGTGAGAATCATTATAGACTTGTTGGCAACCCTGTTCGAGAAGCTGCAGCGCCTCAAAGAGGCTACCCTGAAGATGTTTTTCAATATTATTATTTCAGAAACGGTGTCAGATGAAATAATAAAATATATTTAGTCACTGAATGAAAAGTAGGCGTTTGCTCCCCTATTTAAAGAAACAAAGCTGTCAATCAACTCCCACGGGAAGAAAAATAAATGTTACCTCCCGTGGAAGGTAAAATACAGGTTGTTTATCGAATTGTTACATACTTTTCGGAGTATTAAGAAAGGATACAAGCGTCTATCTCGACCTGCGAATCTTCAAAACCTTAAGGTTATCAGAAGGTTATTCGTGTTTATAAGAATAAGGTAATATGAGGGAGGACAATATCACTTCTACATGAAAAAAGAAAATACTTTCAACCTAACTTGTCCTAAATGAACCTTTTTCCTGAAAAGTATATTTTTGAAAAATCAATTGAGTGAAAAAAATTAAAAAAAAAAATGACGTCTTGCAGGAATTGAACCCCAGTCACCATCGTGGAAGTCAGATACATAGACCAATATAAGCTATCGCTTTACTAGTAGTAGTCGTAGTTTCTCAATATAAAGAAGGAAGAAATATCATGTGTTGTGGGTGACGTCACTCGACCTCGACATCTGACTTCCACAGTGGTGACATGGGATTCATATACGTATTAATAAACAATACGGATCATAACGGGTGCCAGGATGAAAATATGAAACAAATGAATATCCATAAGGATTTGGTGGCATGATACGCATGCGCCATGCGCTATTATAGTAGTCATCAAAGACATGCGTTTCGGTGGACAATGACGTTTACTAGCCTTTCAATCAAAGCAGTATGTGTCTGATCGTTTCAAAACTTTTCCTTATGGATAGTCATTTGTCTTCAAAAATCGGCTTCATGTTTCGCTATGGAAACAGATAGAGATTATCCGTATTGATTATTAATACGTATATGATGGGATTCAATCCCTGCGAGGCGTCAATTTTTTTAAAAGGTTTTCACTCAAATAATTTTTCAAAAATATTCTTCTCAGGAGAAAAGTTCATTTAGACCAAGTTAGGTTGAAAGTACTCTCCTTTTTCATGCAGAAGAGATATTTTCCTTCCTCATATTACCTCATTCTTATAAACACGAATAACCTTCTGATAACCTTGAAGTTTTAACGATTCCGCTGGTCTAACCTACTATTATTTGCTTGTATGTTTCACTATGGTGGCCAGTGTTGCCAGGTCTACCGTTTTTGCGGAAGATCTACAGTTTTTATAGTGTGAATCACCACTCTACCGCAGAGCCTCCTATATCTACCGCTGAAATTTTCATTCATACTTCCAAATTGATTTATACCTTTTTATTTAATTTCACTCTGATTTAAATTGATTATAAAAATAAATGGATATCCACGGAGATATTACAATTTATTAATTGCGTGAGGCAACATATCTATTGCAGTAATAAGAACTACGAGTTCTATCGCCGACGGCGTATTGAGTTTTACCACTGATATGAGTCAACTACTACATTAATCTCTGATAGTATTATGTTTATTTTCAAATCTATCGCTTTTCATGTCAAATCTACTTCTTACCTCATTCTCCACCTGGCAAGACTGGCGAAGAAATACGGTAGTCAAATCAGTCTCTCTTGCTATGTTGCCATTTACATATTATGCCCTCTATGTGTAACAATTTGGCAAACAATCTGTCTGTTGGCTTCAGCAACCTTCTTAGGCGTCTATACAGGGTGTTTCACAGGTAAAGGGAAATATTTCAATGGTAGATAGGGGTCACCAAGGTGGTTCTGAAAATACCATATTTGATATAGGTCTTAGAGTCTTATTCATAACGGAGAGACAGGGCGATTTATCGATTTCGAATAAGTATTCATTCATCTATATGTATTGACCTACCCAGTATATTCTTCTCAAATTTGGTAAGGAGCTTATACTTGGGACCTTTAATTCATTCACCTATCGGGCGGAGTGAAAATCCTGGTTCGGCTTCAGGAAAAATTTACATTTATTCGAAATATTAAAATAACACACTGTATTTAATAATCAACACAGTATATCAAGAGAATTGTGAAGAGGAGGAAAAACTGAATTGGGTTTGATGCTTTTTGTTTTCCCGCCACCAATTCTCATCGTAACAATCATAAACAGAAAGTTGAGAGTATGTCAGTTTGAAGAGTATTGAAATTATGAAACCAGTGTCAATTATGATTATTAGATTATTCGATATATTTTGGTCAAAAAATCGCTCGAAAGAACTTACTAAGTCTCACAGCTTTTATAACGGAGATACAGGGTGAATTATCGGTTTTGGATAATTATTGACTCGTCCATAAGTATAAAACTACCCAGTAACATTTTCTCAAATTTGGTATGTAACTTACTTGAGACGATGGATTCATTAACCTATCAGGAGGAATGGAAATAATACCAAATAATCATAATTCTATAATTCGCCCTGTATCTCTGTTATCAAGACTATGAGACTTTTCCTGAAGCTGAACCTGTATTTCCATACTTATGGACGAGTGAATAATTTTTCGAAACCGATAAAATTCACCCTGTATCTCTGTTATAAAGATTGTGAGACTTAGTAAGTTCTTTCGAACGATCATTTAACAAGAATATATCAAATAATAATGATACTCTTGAAATTGACATACTTTTAGCTTCCTGTTTATGATTGTTACGCTGAGAATTGGTGGCGGGAAAACAAAAAGCATCAAATCCAGTTCAGTTTTTCCTCTTCTTCACTATTCCTTTGATGAACTCTGTCAATTATCACTTACAGTTTGATATTTTCCTGAAGCCGAACCTGGATTTTCACTTCGCCCGATAGGTGAATGAATTCAACGTCCCAAGTATATGCTCCATACCAAATTTTAGAAAAATATACTGGGTAGTTCAATACTTATGGACGAATGAAGAATTTATTCGAAATCGATAAATCGCCCTGTATCTCCGTTATGAAGACTCTAAGACCTATCAAATATGGTTTTTTCAGAACCACCTTGGCGACCCCTATCTACCATTGAAATATTTCCCTTCACCTGTGAAACAATCTGTATAATTGTATGATAACGTGCAATCCATTAATAAGTAATCATAGTGCCTTCATATCACTATTATAAAATAAATAACAATTTATTATTGAAATTCCCAAAATCTTATACATTTTCCTCATACTCCAAAACGTACCTAATCAGTACTTTCAAATGCAGTTACCCAATTTACAAATGCATTAATTCATGATAATTCTTAGAATAGAATCAGCATCAGAATAAACCAGAACAAATAATTACTAAATAAT